AGATTATTCCTTTTATCCCTGGAAAATGTCACTCGTTGACCTGCAAACTCCCAGATACATCACAGTTTTAACGAGTCAATCATCTGAGGAAATTTTTGTACCGCAAGAAATTATTTACAAAAGACGTGGATCCACAAATTAATTTGCAGTACGCGTAGTCCGCGAAGCGGAAAGTTTACAACATTTTTCCTTGCAAATGGAAACTATTCAGATTACGATATATGATTTGATTGACGCCAAAAATAGAGACCGTGAAACCAAGAACTCTTGCATGGAACTATCTACTACTGACATATTGGGTTGAGCATTCGCATATCAACACATATCATTAGTCGTGCTTTCCGGCATTATCAAAGTGATCAAAATACTGAACGGTTGGTTCCTTCTTGAGGCCGGGCTCATCGGACTAGGTAACCAGCAAGAAACTGGGCGCTTTGATTAATTCAGCTTCCAGTGCGTAGGCAAACTTGATTAGGTTGACGCTATATGGACCGAACGGCTCTCAGTGTTTAAGTTGATCTGATCTGGCTAGCAAACACTTCTGGCTGATGCAAATAGTATACAATCACCATTCTCAAACTCTCAGTAGTAGTCTGTTTTTGCTAACAGGCGGCGCTTCTATTGCACATATTCTTGGTAATGAGGTAGTTCGTTTGATTGCTTTGGCTACTGGTAACACTGGTGTCTTAGGATGAGCTACGCATTATTCTAGGAGGCAGTAGTCATCTCTAAGAAAAAGCACAACTCATTTGTTCAAATGAATTAAGTTTGTTTGCAGTTCAGGGTTCTCACCGAATCTAAATAATCGTTTATCATATGCTTAAAACTTGGATAACATTACAAATTGTTACTACATATCAACCGAAGTTGTAGATTTATCAAACACTGGGAAGTCTTATCTGTGGGACGACGTCTCGAATTCAGTTCATCATTCGTAATCATATATGTTCTAAATACGTGACTTAGAAACTTGATTTTGGCGGCCTGTAATGTAAGCTGAAGTTACGCTCACTGACTGATTAAGTCGCTCATTTCGGTAAAATTTGCCATGATCCGTACCACTTCAAACATGATAGTAGTAACTAAAAATTGCGTCTAGTAAACTTTCATAATTTTACGCCCTTGAACTCCACTGGAAACAATCCGCATAAAGTGTTGCAGAGATATCATTTTTCTGGAAAACCCCACTCTTGTTAGTCCCAAGTTTCGGGAGCAACGCAAAGGCACAGTGGTACACTTCTGTTTTTCTCTGTTTCCTGTCATTACTTCTAACTGGCTCTCAAGGACTCTCTGTCCAATATTCGCAATTTGAGTAAAGACTTAATGGGTGACACTACTTTCAGATAGCTTCAGTTAACTTTCAGCCAACCTCCATTTCTTTCCGCAAGTTTCTTAAGTGATTGGTACTTGGCTACCCCCCAGAGTTCCTCCTTGCTGAAGAACTCTTTCTGGACAACCATCTGATTTTCGGTAATGAGTGAAGACACCTGCTAGTGAAAATCTGGACATCGCCGGAAATATTTCTGTTGACGCTCCGTAAAGTGGCTGTGATCTGACATTGGTGCTGAAGATCCAGATATTTTTCCTGCTGTGTAATGTGGAATTTTACGCCGGCTTTTTAGTAGTGAATGTCTGTCTGGACTTTTCGATTCCGTAACGCCTTGGTATTCTCATCTGCATCTCACTGAAAGATGCTGCCAAAGTAGGTAAATGAAAGCAGTCACTTCTTTTGAACTTCTCAAGTTTATAATCATGGATGCTCCCCTCTGTTGGCTATTAGGAATCTTCATTATCTCTGTCTTCTGTGTGTTTACTCGAAGTTCCGTCTTTGCTGCCTATTATGCCAAGATGTAGGGTCCCGCCTGTGCAGCTCCGAGGGTGGGTGATTAGATACATAATTCTTGCGGAAATTTCTTACTTCTGGAGTCCTCCTATCGGCTTAATCTATGCCTGTCGTATTATCGTACGTTCTGCTGCATGATCGAGTCCAACAAAATCAGAGAAATAATCCCTGATAGAAGGCAGTCTTCTTTTACTCCTCCCTTAACTCCGAAAGTCCCACTCAACTATGTCACGAAATCATTGTTGTGCAGTTGAATGAGCTTTACGTTATTTAGACATTCAGCGGTTATGATGTAGTTGCTGAATTTCTCAGGGGTTGATAATGTTGAGGGCCTTACTAAATATAAATAATCGAAGGGTGCATAAGCACCACTTTGAAACAGTGCTAGAGATGCCCTAGATTTTCGGGACAAACTTTGACTTGATTAATCACAACAATTCTTCCGATTTATATGAACATTGAGCACAGTGCATTAATCGTCTTTAAGTTCAGTTTTGTAGTCTGACACTCTAAATTGACGCGTCATGAGTCACATGAGCTTAATAAAACAGGAGTCAGATGTTTTTAGGTCTGTGGAGAATCAGTGATTCAGTTGGATACCTTGTTTTTAATAATCTCAGCCAAAATTATTCTAGGTAGGTTTCATTGAATAATTACATAACTGAGAATCCATCTGACTGGAGATTCATAAAATATACATAAAAAGCATAGCTACTGAACAGAATTCGTCCAGTAGGGCTACTAAAAAATAAAGAATGACAATGAATGGAAACTGTTTAAAACATCCATCGCACTCTCTTAAGAGGTAGTAGTATCTAATAGCTTGAGTCAGGATACTGTGTGCTTTTTAAAAAGCATCCATGAATAATGAATTATCGAATCTTAAAAAATACGGAAAGCTATGTCTGTCCTCAGCTAAATAAATCATATGTCTTACGAGCTCCGACCATCAATAATAAAAATGTTCACGTCAACATTCAGCAAAGTTACTTATTTCCAGGATGAGTAACAATGCAAAAATTGCTACAAACAAAACAGATTACTAATCTCAGATTCATTTCTTAATCCGATACTTTTTGGTTTTTCGCTTGCCTGGAGATTTGCATGATAGTGATTTTCGTATTATATTTAATTTGCAGCCTAAGGATTGGCAGTTTGTTTTTGTGTCTTACATTTTGTAGTAGTGACCTACAGATGCAAAGCGGGTGGAATAAGTCATTTTGAACGGGTCTTTATTTTTCTCGTACTCTGTAGGCGTTCTTTATTGTTCTTTGCCTAAAGTATGTACCACTTAATAACAAAGAGGGAGGAGGAAAACTGTATTTGCCATCAGATTACCTTGAATAGGCAGTTGTGTCAGCAATCGTGAAAGCTAGCAGCGTGTAAGTTAAGGGTTAGCACTAATGGTTACATTAGGGGTAAGGGGTGAAGATAATCCATAACAGGCACTAAGTTATCACCAACACGCAATCAGAATAATGGAACATAACATTTCTTGAGTTTCTCAATAGATTGTATGTTTGCATGTGTAGACTTATCAGTAGGTCGAATTTTGTGTTACTTTGACCTCCAGTGTTCCCCCTGATTCTAGCCTTAATTCCTAAGCTTTAACCTTTGACTTTAATTCAACCCTTTAAATGAAGAGTTATACTGAAGTATTGTGACCCTAGGTAACAATCAACCATGGTTGATTGTTTAGGGTCAATTGCAATTGACCCTAAACTGGTAATCAGATGAGTCGATTAGTAAAAAAGTGTTTAATTTAAAAAAATCTCTGGAAAATATATTAATTGATTTTAAGTAGCCGTGCAGGATTCTGAAGCCTGCAATAACGCTGAACATGCTTTGAAACGTTTGAATGTAATGAACATTACGTCTAAGTGAGACAGATGTTGTGTGCTGAACTAATGCAGTCAATGGTAACATACTACCTGGTTAACTAATTTGATATCTTATATGTAGCTTTAAATATGTGATGACATCTTTTCTTAACCCGTTCATCCCTAAAATCTTCCATTGCAAATGCCTCTAGAGTACTATGGAATTGCTGTGTCCGTTTCAGTGGATCGACAAAATCAGGAAAATCACTTAGTTGTAATTATAACATGGTGTTAATGGTTTCAGTGCTTGTGAACTCTATAGGACTGGTAAACGTTCGCGATAACGTGCTTCACATTCAAACTAAACAAACCACCAAAAGTTTTGATATTATCGGAAGTAGGTAATAACAGCACTCGTGCCCAAATTCTCTTGTTTGCTTCCTGTATCCAATAACTCACAGTATTTAACATCTTGAATGGTCTAGCAGCTGGCAATTACCCTAAAAAATTACACTGTAGCTCATAAAGTAAAAAAACTTCTTCACCTTAAACTATATAGTTTTTTGGTATTTACATACATGTAAGTTAACACTGATAATGTTCTCATTGAAGACCGAATCCAATCGTCCACACAATCCTTGGTCGGTGATTTTTTTTAAAGTATTATGTCCTCTCTCAATATTTTACTAAGTGATTTCCTCAAGCGGGTATCGACAAGTCTCCGGAATTCCTATCCTCTGGATTTTTATGTCCTGAGCAGAATGCTGTCTTAGTATCCATGGCTACCTAATAGGTGTGACATTTTCATGGAATTATTTAATGCACCCATATAAACTGTTGAATATACACTAGACCTATTCAATTCCACAGTCAATGCATGAGTCAACAGCTTATGTAGCTCTAGTCGTCAAGTATTTAAAAGTCATTATTTCACGTGTACATGGCTACTGTTATACCAGTAATGTTGTACCAGATCCATACTGACTGGGTAAATCGGTCACCAAATAGTTAAAAGACTCCACCTAAGATGAAATCATTATTAGCGATGTTGGGTGGGATCTTCATAGTGTGTATATATGACTACCAATAGCTATGTGTCAGTTTCCTCGGTGCATTATCTATTTAACGATAATTTTAACGCTTTTAGTCCAATTATTTAAGTTAATGGGATGCTAAATCATATCAGTCGAAGATTCCAGCCTCTAAAAAAGGAACTGTTTGAATTAAATTGCTAATTTATCAGTTTCTGAAGAATAAAGCGTGTATAGATAATCTTTATTGTTTTGTAGGAGTTGACCAAAACTCCGAGCGGTTTAAGCGATCATTAGTGTCAATCTATGGCTACCGTATCCAAACACAAGAAGGTGAGGATGGTGAAACAGAAGCTCAAACTGTTTCGAGCAAATGAACCACTGAAAAGTGTACTCATGTGGGGCATCAACTATTCATTTTCTACCTTAAATCATGTTAAACCACGTGTACTATTACTGAAAGATGACTTCAAGGCGCATATGAAGGTGAAAGTGAATAATCACTATTTCAACAAGTAAGTTTTGTTGGATTGTTTGTTGAATTGTGATTCTTTGTGTTTCTAGGGAAAATATGCCAAGTAGATTTAAGTTTAAAGAGTATTGTCCAATGGTGTTCAAGTCATTGAGAGATCGATTTGGAGTTAAGAAAATGGATTATTGGGTAAGTATGAGTGAATTTGCTCACGTTGTGCTGTGGTCATATAGTTTGGTTTGTTGTAGTATCTTTGAGGGACCTAATTGTGATCACATTGAGGTGTGGTCAACGAATCTCTTATGAGTAGTACAACTTGTTTTGAGTTGTGGCTGTCTGTCAGCAATTTAGCTTTGAAATGATGTAGTTGGCTGGCCGTTTGACAAAGTGTACAGGGGGAGTTTTGCTTGAAATAGTGTGTCGTCTTAATTCATGAAGTATATATTTTTACAGGTATTTTAGTTGTGCAAGTATTGAATTCAATCCTCAGTGTATTTAAATTTCTGAGAAAGGGCACAAGTTCGGTCGTTTAGTTTGTAGGGGAGCATGGAATCAGTACGCCATATTACAGTCTTCATTTAGTAACACCATTATGAATGAATTGGCTTCGAACTGTATGCCGGGAAGAATCGCATGATTGGATAAAGTATGTATTAGGTATGGGTGATTGTATATGCCCCAGAGTGAATGTAATCGTACTATCAGAATAATTTCCGACCATATTGTTTTCCTGTCGGTAACAGAAGTCGTGATTGATAGAGATATTGCTTTGTGACCGTCTGTAACTTGTTAAGACTTTCCAGTATACACTCAAATAATCTCTTATCCTTTTGTCATGTGCCCTACAATTCCTGAAGATCGTTGACTAGGAACGGTACAGTGTAAGTTAATATCATGTCCGACTAATTATCATACCAGTGAGACTGTAATTTCGTAACTTATCCGACAGGATGCTTTCACCAGATATCAACCATTATGGGATAGTACACGAGGTAAATCTGGTTCAAAGTTTCTGGTTACCTACAACCGTCAATTCGTGGCGAAAACGATCAGTTCTGAAGAAGTGGAACAAATGCATCATATGCTAGAAGAATATTATTCTGTAAGTCATTGTTGTGAAAGATTTGGGCCAGTTTATTGTCCGTTTTCGAATTGATGTATTTTTAGCAAAGAATGTGCTGGTTTCAGCATTCATATTCGATCACAATGAAACTAGAAAGCTGGTTATAAAAGTGCAGGTGAAGTGTGAGTCGGAAGTTATTCCGATATCGTCACTCGTAGTATGTATGCTGGCGAGCATTCTAATCAGTTAGTTTGCATTTATGTGGCTGTAACTAGTACTCGGTGACTTTTTGGAGTGGTGCTATTTCTCTGCGTCGTTCGCTCGTGCTCTGTCAAACCTGTCAGGTCCTACAGGTTAGACGTGTGACTTTGCTATCGTTAGGGATTAGACTTTCAACTGTATGTCAGTTAGTGCAGTTCCGATTGACCTTGTCATAAGATTAGTATGGTCAGGATTATGGTACCTCTAAGCATCCAAATTATAGGGGTGTGTGTCTGTCATCAATATGTCTGCTGTCGTACCAGCTGTTTCATGTTACTTATCTGGCGTTTTCGATGTTTTCCTCATAATGTGTTGAGTATTTCTTTTAAATGCGAAAAGCACTACAAAGACGAGATTTCACTGTGTGTATTCGACCTCACACAGACTGTGTTTTGTCTGCTGTACACTTGGAACGTCGTACTTTTTAATCTTAAATATACATTTACTAGTATCTGTCTTTCAGTGGTGGTGCGTAAAATGTCATATTCGGCATATCGGAAATTCTTGTTTCTACATCTTTAGTGATAAAAACCGACAAATATCATTGTCGCATAACCTGAATTTGGTGTATGCGAGTTAGAAGTGAATGTGTTGATGCAACGAATTGTGTGTATTATGATACAATTATGCTGAGTTGAATTCTCTGCAAACTTTAGTGTGTCTGTAGCATATCTCAATGTTTCGCTAAATATGGTGGTCAATATATCCTCAAGGTAGCACGTAACAATTTCGTATTGTATGTGAATGGGTTTATTTAAGGTAAAGTTTATTTTCACACAGGGTAGATTGTTAACTTTCTTTGAGATAGAAAACATATGTACATAAACCTTAGCAGTTCACAGTTTGTTTTCAGAAAAATGATAAGGTGTGGTATATCATAGAATTTGCGTTTGGAATTTAGGTCAGTGCCTGAATTATAGTTTAAAACAAGATTTTCTCAATAAAATCCTACGTTCTGATAAGTTGGCACTTAAAGTCATTATCTTGTGAGTATCACATCATCCAATCTGTCTTGGATTGACTGAGGAATGTTTATTATTTACGAGTCGAGATCATCAATTTGTATTTGTGAGTTCTTTATTGTACATGGAAAACTTAGTATTCACATGTTCGATAATTATAAATGATGTGGTTCTGTGTGTTTCCATATTTTCAGTATATTGTCAAAGGACATGGTCAGACGTTGCTTCCTCAATACTTAGGACTTTATCGACTCACTGTGAACGACCAAGAGACGTATATCCTTGTTATGAGAAATGTGTTCAGTCCGAGACTGGCGATCCACAAGAAATATGACCTGAAGGTATGATTTGTGCGATTACTTTGTTTGATTTATCTGCATAAGAGGCGTGAATTTATTTTAAGATGGTTTAATGAAGGTTTGTGTGTTTTTACGATGACAGGTGGAAGTCATTTTTGAGTGCTCATGTACTTTTCACATTTTTATCTTATAGAACATTGTGTTTCCAAGTCATCAACCGAAACGTTCTGTAAGTGTTCATTCACTCATCCCCCATGGATCGAGTCAGTTATCGTCTTCCGAAGATCACCCTAATAAGCCTGTGTTAGTGATATCCAAAGAGCATAGACGTTATCCGCGGATTAAAAAGTACTCAGTACAAAACACAACAGGTGTATGTGATATAAGTGTAGTTATACTGGCCTACTGTTTTACCCCTCCTAACCTGTTTTGTGTTGTGAGCTATTGCCTTCTAACACTGCCGTATGCTCCTACTATGAATGAAGTAGCGTGTATATTTTTAGTTCGTAGTTGTAGGCTTTTCAGTGTGTTTACAGTGTAGGTCTAAGGGATAATTTATTTTTAGTTTCCAGTGTGTTGCATGTACCTACACCACTTGCCTATAGAGAGTTGATATTTCGTTTTGAACATGTATTTTCACGTGTTTGGATGACTTGGACGGGTGTCAGTTGCTGGGAGTCAGCCCTTTTTTATGTGTGCCGTGATAGTATGGAGATTTCACATGTATTCTCGTTTCCAGCTTTGCTGTGTCTTCTCAGTTTGGCCACCTAACACCTAACCCTCACTTTGCTCACCGACTTCCTGACATATTTGATTTTGAAGCTATTAATCCTACTGACAGACTAACGTGTTTCACTGACACGTAATAGATAAATAACGCTTACTGAGTAACAGAGGGACGAATGACACTGTCTACTTTGATTCTTTCACAGCTGAATTGTTTTTCTGGTGTAAGTTTGACTTTGTCATGTGAGAAATTCGCCGGCGTTTTTGCGTGCGTGCGTGTGTTTACTGATTGATCTAATGACACTCATTGTTGGTATTTGCTTTTGAACTGATCACTCACTACGTAACCTGATTTTGTCATATTGTATGGGAATTATCTATGTGGAGGTCGTGTTCAGGTGGTTATCAGATTGTCCAAAACTTGAATGAACAAGTTGTACACTCGCGCGTGTGAGTAGCTGCATCCCGTTTCCTATCATACATGCGCGTTACATGTACAAGTCGGCCACATTAGGTGAGGAGCTACGAAATCTGGTTGTCATGAGATGTAGAACGAGTGTTTATCTAATTTTCAGTTAGCTGTATCATGCAAATTAGGGAATGTTATTTCTGTTTATTGACAATGAGTGATGCAGGTTCGTAGTTGAGGGAAATGAATTTATGCCCTGAAGGAGTCTCATGTGATAAGTTCGAAATCGGTCTCGGCAAAGGATTCTCTTTCTAACTATCTAATGCATGACTGACGTTTGCTTTCCTATATGAAACGAAAATCCACAATTTCTTAAGCCTTCTACGTGTTTGGAGAGATGTGTGTAAATATCTTGTGTCGCTAGTAATCTACATTATAGAAAAAAAATGTGGGTTGATTACGTTTCGGAAACGAGTAATAACCATATTTTTCTCATGGTCCATTCCTGTGTGGAGACATAAATGATTTTTGAGAGGAAGTCATAAGAATTTTCGGAGTATGTTTTATTCTGCTGAGTGACAGTTTGGTATCGATAGATGTAACGAGTCGATAGAGATGTGAAAGTGTTTATCGAAAAGTGTTTTGACCACAATACATCCCTGATTATTAATACTATTATTTATCATTATTATTATATCCTTTAATTCCTAGAGAAACATAGGGCTTCAGCTGTGCATCTCCATTGCCTTCGGTTTTCTGCCAACTTTTTCACCCCACTCCAAGTCTGCCCACATGCTTTCATCTCCTCCTCGCATGACCTCCTCCAAGTCACCCTTGCACTGACGACCAACTTGCCGCTTCCCTTTCGGGTTCCACTCGAGTAATGGCTTGTCTAGTGATGTCACTTGATGGTTTCCTCAGAGTATGGCCAGCCAATCCATCTCCATTTCTTCCTGCCTATTTGTTTCACAATCGGTTCCCGCTGTTGGTTCGCTCATTGCCAGAGATCCCTGTTGGTGATCTTTTCTGGTCGGTCATCTGATCTTGAGTATTGAGCGAAGACAACTGTTAACGAAGGTCTGAAGTTTGTTTGAGATGCTCTTTATGACTCGCCAAGTCTCTGATCCGTATAGTAGCACTGACTTCACATTGGAGTTGAAAATCCGGATCTTATTTTTGATGCTGAGTGCTGTTGACCTCCACACAGATTTGAGAGTAATGAAAGCTTGCCTTGCTTTTCCGATTCTGGCTTTGATATCCTCGTCAGTCCCGCCTGTAGTTGAAAAGATACTTCCCAGGTAGGTGAAGGAGGTTGTTTCTTTCAGGTTCCTCCCATTTATGCTGACTGATTGTTGTCTGTTGTTGTTGCTGTCTGTTGATGTTGGCTAGGAATCTTCATCACCTCTGTTTTCTCTATGTTCACGTGAAGTCCTATCTTTGATGCTTCTTCTGCCAACTTGTTGCTTTTCACTTGCATATCTTCCAGTTTGTGGGAAATCAGACATATATCATCGGCGAAATCCAGATCCTCCAAGTCTTTTGTGTGAGTCCATTTTATGCCTGTTTCCTCATCGCCCGCCGTTGTCTGTCGCATTATCCAATCTACTGCAATCAGGAAAATCATTGGTGATAGTAGACAGCCTTGCCTCACTCCCGTCCTCACTTCGAAGGCTTCCGTAAGTTTCCCGTTGTGGATTACTTGGCATGCAGCATTGTCGTATAACTGTTGGATGAGATGTATAATTGTCGATGGGACCCCGTAGTAGCGAAGTAGTTTCCAAATGACCTCTCGATCGACGCTGTCGAAGGCCTTTTCAAAGTCGATGAAGTTGAGATAGAGAGGTGACTGCCATTCCAAGCTTTGTTCAATGATGATCCGTAGAGTGGCGATTTGATCAATACATGATTTGTTTCTCCTGAATCCGGCCTGTTCCGGACGAAGTTTTTCATCTAGGGCTTGTTTGATTCTCTCCAGGATGATGCGACTTAGTATCTTGCTTGGAATGGACAGAAGCATAATTCCACGCCAGTTTTTACATTGACTTAAGTCTCCTTTCTTTGGAAGTTTGAATAAGTATCCGTTCTTCCAATCCTCGGGTACTTTGCCCTCTTTCCACACCTTCTCCAGCAGTGGTGTCATCAAGTCCGCTGTTGTCTCTGGGTCTATTTTCAAAGCTTCTGCTGGGATTCCATCTGGTCCCGGTGTTTTCCCAGCTTTAAGCATCTTGATTGCATTCAGGACTTCTGATTTCGTCGGGGGGTCAGTGTTCACTGGTAGTTCTGCTTCCGTTGTTGGTATTGTTGGGCGCGTTGTAGGTGGCGGACGATTTAGAAGTCTTTTGAAGTGTTCAGCCCAGTGCTTTCTCTGTTCCACCTCTTTGGTGATTGACTTTCCATTGTCGTCCTTTATTGGCTTAATCTGTGTCGAACTTTTGCCCGATAGGTGCCTAGTTGTTTGGTAGAGTGTGGCGAGGTCTCCTTTGCCTGCAGCTTGTTCTGCTTCGTTTGCCATGGTTTCATAATATTTTCTTTTGTCTTCCCTGGCACTCTTCTTCACTCTTTTGTTCAGTGTATTGTAGCTTGCATTCAGCTCCTGTTTTTGTTGCTCGTCAGTGCACTGGATAATCTTTTGTTTCACTGTCCTTCTCTCTTCTATTAGTTTCCAAGTGTCCGTAGTGAGCCACTGTTTGTCCTGTCTCTTCTTTCTGCCTAGAACTTCCATGCAGGTTTGGCTCCACACCGTTTTCAAGTTGTTCCAGTGCTTTTCGACGCCGACCTCTTCGCTGGTGTTGATTTGTGTCTCGGCTTTGTCCTTTATGCTTGCAATGAAGATGTCCTTTGTAGCCTGGTCCTTCAGCTTTTGAGTGTTGAACTTGGCTTGTGGTCTATCTGCAGCTCTTCCTTCTCTGAAAGCTTTTAATTTGATTTGGATTGTCCCTTGTACGAGATAGTGGTCTGAGCCAACGTCTGCTCCTCTTCTTGCTTTTGTGTCCAGTAGGCTGCGCCTCCACTTCCTTGAGATTGAGATGAAGTCGATTTGGTTTTTGGTTTGCCCGTCTGGTGACACCCATGTAGCCTTGTGGATATCTTTGTGCTTGTATACACTGCCACCAATCACTAGTTCGTTGAAGGCGCAGAAGTCGGCGAAGAGTTCTCCATTTTCATTCATTTCTCCGAGAGCTTCTCTACCCATGATGAGTTCCCTTCCTGTGTTGTCTGGTCCCAGTTTGGCGTTCATGTCTCCCATTAGTATTTTCATGTCGCCAGCTGGAGTATTGTCCATTGTTGCCTGTAGTTGTCTGTAGAATTCTTCTTTCTTTTCGAGGTCTGCGTTGTTTGTGGGTGCATAACATTGTATGATTGACACTTTCCTTCCTTTGGAGTTGAATCTGGCGGTCATTATCCTGGACGAGATCGCCTCCCATTGCATCAGGGCTTTCGTTGCCGTTGGTGACATCATGATAGCCACGCCCTCGGTGTGCGTGTGGTTATCTTCTGGGTGACCGGAGTAGATCACTGACTCACCCGTTGACAATTTGGTGAGTCCATTCCCATTCCATCTGCTTTCACATATTCCCAGCACTTGGATTCCGTATCTTTTCATCTCGTTTGCGATCTGGGCAGCTTTCCCAGTCTCGTACATATTGCGGACGTTCCATGTCCCCACACAGACTTTTTCTTTTGGTGCAAAGAGGTTCATCGTGCTGAAGTTTCTGTAGCAATTTTGTTTACAGGGTGGGGTTGCTAGCCTCACGCCTGAGAAAGGAATGGTTACATTAATATAAAGTTTAGAGAGAAGCGACCTTTCGGGTTGCTCCCCTTAAAATCAGATAACAAGGGATAAAACAACCAGAACAACACCAACAAAAGGAAAACAATTCACAGCAAAAAGGGCAAAAAGCGACAACAACTATACAATACAACAACATGCAATATAGTTCAGCACAGTTAACTAAAATGATACCAAAATCTTGGACTCACTGACTTGGGCCAACTTGAACATATAAGTCCAATAATATATACAATTATACATATGAGTTATTGTTAAAAGACACAAATGTCCAAAAACTTTGTTATAGGTATTAGTAGTCAATGTTAGTATATCCAGAGTTTAAGCGTTCGAAAGTTAACGGAATGCAATAATTTCCAGAACTCCGTGATGAGCAATAACAAAGAAATGAGAGTTTTATATATTACAGCAAAAAGTAGCTACATTCCTGATAGTTTTGGTTTGTAAGGATTGGTTATGTTTTACGAGTTGATCACGGATTGATATCAGTTAGAGAACCAGTACTCCCTGGTTTTGAATGGTTCTCTAACTGATATCAATCCGTGATCAACTCGTAAAACATTCCTGATAGCCATATCCTTTCATATTATTATGAAAATTGTGTTAGGACAGAGAGAACCAGACAAATGTTACATCTTTAATATGCCAGTGCTTAACACCGTTACCACTCTCCAACTTTATTTCGTCATACTACTCAATAGGACTGAGGTATCTCATTATGAGAAGCAGGCCTAACCCATTCTACACAATAACAAGATCAGTCTATGTTCAACCATTATCAACCTTCAATTGAACGGAATGTTTCACTTCCCTGTACAACTAATGTTGCTGTGAATATTTTCTGTGGTTATATAAGGTGGTCTTATGTGTAGTGACCTTTAGGATTGAAAAGAGTTTGTTTTTCTCGGTCTTCTCGGTCAATAATTCTGCGTGGACTAAATGTCTTTCTTGATGTCTGAATAACAAGTCAGTTAGTCTATGATTACTATCGTTGTCCTCATAATTAGGGATCAGCTGTGGATCGCGAAGCTAACGAAAAAGAGAAGGTGAGTCTGACTAGTTTTCATCGTCGTTGTCACTATCATGATTGTATTTACTGTCTTGGCGTTCATCTGTGTTTAGTATAAGTGTCTCTCACTTGTGTTCGTGTGTGTGTGTGTGTGTATGCATGCCTGCTAACCATTCGTGAACATTTTACTTGTCTCCGTCACTGTCATAATTTTGATGTTAATGAGGTTGATATGAAGGTAGATTGTAGTAGGTGAAATAACTTTGTCGAAGTTAGCTTTGTGTCGAAGAGATTGGAGACCGTGTCTAGTAGACGGTATATGTAGTCACGTGAATGACTCTGCAGTTCTCATGTAGAAATGTGCTAAATTGCTGCGAATTGTCTTTCCAGTTCAGCTACAGTGATAGTTATACTCACAACAATTGTGCCAGATTGTGGTGGGAAGAGGTCAGTCACTGCCTTCGATGACCAGTCATTTACCATATTTTACATAGTTTGTCGTCAGTCAGTTGGAATGAATGAATAGTCTTGGTGCCTCAGTTGATATGGCTCCGTTTATTGATACTTTAGTCCTGTCATGAGAGTTATTCATGTAGCGATGGTGAGATGTATGAATTAGAGTATTGTGAATTTGGAGTATTCGCTGAGAACGTGGGAGAATGTGTGCATGATAAGTTTGACCACATCAAGTAATCATTTGTTGTATTCCAGTGTTTTTTGTGAATACGTTGTGATGTTTTGGCTGATCATTTTGTGTTATTGTATAAAATTATAACTGGAAGTCTGTTGTTTTGTATTTATGTTATTTGTGTTCTGTTTGCTTGGAAGGAACCCTCGCCGCTTGAAATTGTTGTGTGACATTTCAGTTTTGATGTAGTGGTTTTCGTGTAGATGCAAATATGTGCATGAGTGTGTATATGTGTGTGTGTGCACGGTGAATGTGAGTGATTGTTTCCCTTTTTGAGAGGTTTCTATCCTTATCATATGCCTATTGTTCACTGTGATTACAAGTTTGTATCTGTGTATTTCTGCTAGATTGACTTTAAGCAATGAATACCGCGGTTGAACGTGTTACGTGTTTCTTGTCTCCAAGTCAATAGTAGGATTTCATGGGTGGTGCGGTAGTGATTATGGTGAGCGACTGTTATGCGTCAACGCAGTTCTACTTATATGGCAGTTGACCAGAAAGAACTACCAAGACAAAATGAAGACGATAATTCGATTGTTCATAACGAAGTGTATGTTTGAGGATTAATGATACGGAGTGGAAGTCCTCGGTTACCTGACTGAGGATCGTACCTGGACGATTGGACGTAAGGTGACAGCATGGTTCTTAGTAAAAGTGTTCGACCGTATGTCTTCAGCATAACTGGTCAAGGAAAACAGCAAATGTCCGTATTCCGTGTCGAATGTCGGTGCAGCAGTAGGTTGTTGATTTCACATTTTGCTAGCGTTGAGTGGTATTTGTTTTCGAAATGATGGGATGAGTTAAACAGTGACTGGTGTTGACATTTTCCAGCTGAGTGAATGCTGAAGAAAGACTTTGGCATCAGTATGGAATTCTTAAGGATAGGTGTATGTATTTGTCAGTCACCTCGTGATACCTTGAGCCATAGATCTAATGTAGTGTAGAAAGTATACGTAGGTGAAACAGTCTCCATATCAGCCAACTGATAATAAATATTTTTGCATAACATGCGCATTTTCCACTGTTGGCTACGATGTAGGTGTTGAAACACTTGATTTACTTCGTGGAACTAGTTCCATTCATAAAGTTGAGTAAGTCTATGAAAATTGGTCTACAGAGTAAGGTAGATCCATCGGGCGTTGTTGAACCGAATTTTGGTGCAATCGCTGTTCTCCTTGTGTTACCAATCTAATTGACTACTACAATGCAATGGCGCCCGAATAGCATCTTAGTGTTTGGTGGCATTGAAGAGATTATTTTCAATACATACTTCCCCAGGGTGTCAAGTTGTGTTTGGTTCACCATTTGCTTGAATAATTTCCAGTTTAAACCCCTCTATGGGGTACAGTTTACAATACACCAAAATAACTGATTGACCTTATTTGAGTCCATTCTCACCAGGTAATAGTGTGCTTTTTTAGTCGAGGAAATATAACATTATTGACATGAATGCACAACTACTACTGTCATCATTTTGTATGGATAGTCGTCCTTATATCCCATTCATCAACTATCGCATGATATTTCCTAATGTCGTATTGATTGATTGTGGCATTGTCATATCCGTGGGACGATTACATAGAACTTTCCCGTTTGAATTTATTGGAATTAGTTGATAGTTGATGGAATCGAATTGATTACCACTCCTCTGTCAGTGACCGTTTGCTTCTCGATATCAAATTGACTCGGCTGCCATCATAGATTGAATTGGAGAATCGAGGGGCTGGCTAATATTGGCTGAAAACTTCACGCGACGCCATACACACGCTTGACAACGCCTAAGATCGAATCCGAGGTGGTTAGGTTTCACGAGAACGCGTTAGAATGGAGTAATGCGTCTTTATTTCTAGTGTTAGTTAGTGTTGATAGTACAGCGTGACATTCTGTTTAGTGGTGTTTCTGTTTCCTGCCCACAGATCAATGGATTACAGTCGAACGACGACAATAAGCTTACTTTGAAGTAGATGTGCTAACATGCACCCTTCTCAGAATTCACAAGCAACTTAGTAACGAAATCGTCTTGTTTGTCTACAGCCTTGTATAAATATGATGGCGAAAGCAACATCGGATCCATTGTTGTCATGCAAGTTAAGTTGAAAAAGAGAAATCTGTCCTTAAACTGACCCTTTTTTCTTCAATCAATAAAATGACTTGAAATTTTGAGACGAATCAGATTAACTTCTGTTGAGTGATTACTTTGACTAGTTGGAGACGATATTTTACGATAAGTACAGCAGAGAATGTTACTATTTTGTTGATAATGAGTAGTGATTAACTAAAATAAATGTTAATTGGCCTTGTAGTTGCTGTGAGTATGAAACAAAGGTGTGAGCATGAGCGTGTGGATTTATTTCATCATTGAAATTGATAAATTCCGTGTGGTATTCTCAGGGTCAAATTTTATTGAGGTGAATTGACTTTACCAACTAACTAACTAACTAACTAACTAACCAACTAACTAACAGTTTCAATATTTATTTAAGTAGGTGAAGTGTTTAGCGTGTCGTTCGCGTCTGCGGTTGTGCAAGCTTTTGTCCTTCGATCCGTCTGTGTGCACAGCAATATCTGTCCATTGTACCGTGGTGTGGAATTGCTCTGTGCCTACTGGATTGTATTCTTAGTGAAGTGGAGTATGTGTTGAAGTGATCTCAGATACAAGAACCGTGTTATTGTGATTGGGTAGTTAACAACATCATTGAATGTGTATTGTGTGCAGGTGCTTACTGCAGTTGATGGAGGAATGATGTTTGTGTATTGTACGTGTTGGATATTCCTGAAATGTCCCGATTAGTTATGGTTTGAGAATCCAACAGGGCTTTTGACATTCGACTAGAAAACGTTGTATGTTCGTAGACAGTAGTTATGGTGCTTCTTGATTTTGTAATGTATTTACATTGATATTGGATTTGTTGAGTCGTCCGTAAGTACGTGATAACTGAATAAGATGTCAGACAATATCTTTGAGTAATCAGTTCTTCAGTTTGAAGTTTCATAACTTCAATATTTCACAGACGTTTTACAGTCACAGTGGATACTGTATCTACTTAAAGTGTTGCAGGATCCGAAGAACATCAGGTAGGAGAACACCAGTTATAGTCGTCCCTAGCTGAAATATGTAATTTTGGTGTTCGTTTTCTATCTATAACTGTGTGTATGCTTTTTGAGTGTTATTTATTTTGTGGGATTGCCGTGTCATTGTGGGATAGTTGTGGGAAGTAAAAGTGAGTGCTTTGAACGAGGTGCATGAAGAGTGTGATGATGCACCCATATTTGAAGTGAATTGAGGTGATTGTGTTGTGTCAGTAGCCTACACTCTGTTCGTCAGTTATGTGTATGTATTTTTTTGCCTTTCTTTGTGTTGTAATTTTACAGTCGAAGCCGTTACCGACGCTGAAAGATGCTGATTTTCTGACTGATATCTGCAAGATACACATTGGTGAAGAGGCGAAGAAGAAGCTGTTGAGCACTTTGGAGTCTGATATACTGGTGAGTGACAGATGGATGTGGATGAGTTTGTTGAGGTGGTCAGTTTTCCGAGTAGGTGACACAGGTGATCATCGGTTCATATTGTCATTTGTTCATTGATACCAGCCAGATGTGGCGTTAGTCCTTGGAAGTGTTTTGTTATGTGTAGGAATCTCATAAATAGTGTCGTGTGAGTGAGTGAGTGAATACAGTCACATATGACCAAAGGAATGGGCACCTTAAGCAGTTGACGAGGTGCAGTCTGAGTGATGATTGGTGAACCCATTATTGTTGCATGTTCATTTCCTCTCTCTCTTTCTCCTTTGTTTCGACTATTGGATTACTGTCTGCCTGTCTGTTTTCGGCATAGAACTTTGCACATATATGCGGTAGTTCAAGTCGCCTCACTCCATGTATCTCACAAAGCAAGAGACGAAAGTACAAGAAATGCATACTAGAGACAGTAAACACAGGTGTGAGACAAAGGAATAGTAATAACGGAGAACAAAACAGTTTCATTGGAAATCGTAAATCACAAGGAGTGGATGCATCTGCGCCAGCCATTGAGAACGATTTTGAGCCATGTCACCGATTGTTTCCAACCATTGGTTTTTACCGTCCCGAGGACCCCAACCGATAGCTGCTACCTTGACGTGGTGGTCGGGCTTGAACACAGCAATGACCCAACAGGCTATAGTGGCTGAGGCTTATGTCTTTTGAGGTCCTACCATGCCAGAAAGGTTGTTTGGATAGAGGTTAGACAAAAAGAAGCTACCCAATCCAATACCATGGTAAAAACACTCACAAAATATCATGCCGTATCGGTCGGAGCCCGGATTGAAAACGACCGCGCTTCGCGCTGCCATGTCACAGCGCAGAAGTGATAAATATGCTACTGAGACACGCCAAATAATAAAAAACAAACAAAAACAGGCCGCGTGTGACCGACCTCAAGCATTTGTCCCCTGGGCTCTGCGATCACGCAACCAACTTCCACGGTGTGGGCAACCGAGAAGTAACAATCGCCCTCACAACCCAAAATGCATTGGATTACTAATTTTCCATCTGTGGATCTTATCGATGTATTTTCTGTCTTCGAGCATTAGAAACTATATTCACATTTAACTGTATGCTTTTGCTGATTTCCAGTATTGGTCAACGCTTTTCCAGTTATCGAATCAACCAATGAGTCATAGAATGCAGTCGGTAAATTGAGGGACACAAATGTGGTGCTTGATGTGATACGGAACAATTTCAAATGACACATCAGGAGTCAGTTTAATTAAGGGTAGCGGATGTATTCCGTCTAGCCGTCGGTTTTCTCTAGTGTGCTCCGCTAATTGTTGTAATTTCTATTTCAACTGATTTCATTGCTGTTGCTCTACTCGTCATCACCAGTTAAAATTCTGCATTGAAAGTGCTCACGTGCATATACTTCTTATATATAGTAGGAGGAGGTGTTGATTGATGAGCTTTTTAACATCTAATCGTTTGGTGTGAAGCACGTACGAGAAACACTTATGTGGATGTATGGCTTTTAGAGGGAATCTCATACTTGTTGAATTTTGAGAAGACGTGAAAGCACAACTATTGTTGCATTTTACTCATTCGTGGTAGAAATAGTTGCGTAGACGAGTGAGTGAGTGTCACGGGTTTGTGACGATAGTGTTGACATCATCTGGTCATCATTATTCAACTGTCTCGTCTCCTTTGATCATATGAATGTCTGAGAAAGGCCAAGAAGTGGAGGAGGGAGAAGAAGCTGAAGAGGAATGTGTATTGTTTTCGAGTGAATAGTTTTATTTTCACTGGTAAAGAAGATCATGTGAAAGGCATCTTTGTTTTTTGTGTTGGTATAATGATGATGACTTGAGAATGTGAATTGTTAAGTTTCTTTTGTAATATTGTGTTTTCGTGCATATACGTGTGAATATGTGTGTGTGTATGTGTTCACTCACAAGTTGTTGTTGCCATCGCCATCACTATGGTGTGTTTTTGTATGTGACACGACTTGTGACATCAAACATAATGATTGCACACTGGCCCTGTATGTAGTAACCGTCCCTTAGACCACCAAATTTTTCCTGCCCTGCAGTATCCCAAACGTTAAAACGCATTTTTCCACGTGTTGTATGGAAATCAAGTGGATGCACTTCAACACCCAGAGTAGCAACATATTTCTTCTCAAACTCTCCAGTGATATGGCGTTTCACAAACGTAGTTTTTCCAGTACCACTGTCACCAACCAAAACTAATTTAAATACAGCTACCGGGCCCTGATCTACCATAACTGCAAGTCAACAATACAAAAACAGGCCGCGTGTGACCGGCCTCAAGCAGTTGTCCCCTGGGCTCTGCGGTCACGCAACCAACTTCCACGGTGTGGGCAGCCGGGAAGTAACAATCGCCCTCACAATCCGAAATGCACACGAAACCTCTCTATTACTCACTCATCTTTGTCTTCATCTTCATCTCTATCATCTTGCCTTCCTTCCACTGATGCAACTCCTCGACTTGATAGCTCTCCACTTCCTCTCCACTCTGCGTCCACTAAAAACGATGGAAGCCAAAAAACCACCACCGACAGCCTCTTAAAGCCGCGCCACCAATTTCATATAGGAGCTCTTAATGTTAGGACACTTTGCCAAATAGGACAACAAGCATCACTAGCCAAGACCCTGGCATCACGAGCCATTGATGTATGCTGTGTTTCAGAAACACGCATACAAGACCCAAGTGTGGTTATTCACCTAACCCCACCTGGCCAACAGGTTGAATCTGCAAAATTCACCTTGAGGGTGTCAGGAGATGCCACAGCTAGTTCACGAGGATTAGCTGGCGTAGGGATAGCTTTGAGTACTAGGGCAGAAAAGACATTGCTTGACTGGATCCCGGTAGATAGCCGAATGTGTGCTGTCCGTCTGAACGGATCAGTAAAAAGGAGAAAGGACTGCACTACTCGCCGATGCCTTTTCGTAATCTCCGCCTACGCCCCCACTGACTGCAGTTCAGATGAAACGAAGGATGAGTTCTACCAAAAGCTGTCTAGTTTGGTGGGAAAGGCTAAACGCTCAGACATAGTCGTTCTAGCTGGTGACTTTAATGCTCAAGTAGGGAAATTGTGTCAATCTGAGAAGGATGTCGGTGGCACCTATGGAGTTCCGTGCCAGCGAACCGACAACGGTGACCGTCTCCTACAGTTCTGCTCTGATAATCATTTGTTTCTTGTAAGCACTAACTTCAAACACAAGGAGCGACACTGTTTGACTTGGAGACCCCCTTCATCAAACCAACGCTGGACACAAATAGACCACATAGCAATAAGCTATCGTTGGCGTGGGTCGGTAGGAGATTGTCGCTCCTTCTGGAACACGTGCGTAGATACCGACCATGCACTGGTCCGCTCCCGGGTGTGCTTACGACTGAACGGACGTAGGAAACAGCTGGCGGTAAAACCATCACGTCCCCAGCTCGATCAGGAAACTAAATCCGTATTTAAGGAAGAACTAGCTAAACACATATCTGTGTTCGACAGCTGTGCTCACCCTGAAGAAGCTTGGAAGAATATCCAGTCAGCCATAGATACAGCTGTGAAAGCTGTGAATAAGGTAAACCCAAAGGTGAGTAAAAACCACTGGATCTCCACCGCCTCATCCGAACTGATAGATGCTAGAAGACTTATTCCGGCGAGCTCCGAATTCAATGAGGAGCGAAAGCTGCACAAAAGGAAACTTACGAAAAGTCTCCGCAAGGACCGTGAACAGTGGTGGGCGACAAAAGCGTGCTCACGTGCATATACTTGTTATATATAGTAGGAGGAGGTGTTGATTGATGAGCTTTTTGACATCTAATCGTTTGGTGTGAAGCACGTACGAGAAACACTTATGTGGATGTATGGCTTTTAGAGGGAATCTCATACTTGTTGAATTTTGAGAAGACGTGAAAGCACAACTATTGTTGCATTTTACTCATTCGTGGTAGAAATAGTTGCGTAGACGAGTGAGTGAGTGTCACGGGTTTGTGACGATAGTGTTGACATCATCTGGTCATCATTATTCAACTGTCTCGTCTCCTTTGATCATATGAATGTCTGAGAAAGGCCAAGAAGTGGAGGAGGGAGAAGAAGCTGAAGAGGAATGTGTATTGTTTTCGAGTGAATAGTTTTATTTTCACTGGTAAAGAAGATCATGTGAAAGGCATCTTTGTTTTTTGTGTTGGTATAATGATGATGACTTGAGAATGTGAATTGTTAAGTTTCTTTTGTAATATTGTGTTTTCGTGCATATACGTGTGAATATGTGTGTGTGTATGTGTTCACTCACAAGTTGTTGTTGCCATCGCCATCACTATGGTGTGTTTTTGTATGTGACACGACTTGTGACATCAAACATAATGATTGCACACTGGCCCTGTATGTAGTAACCGTCCCTTAGACCACCAAATTTTTCCTGCCCTGCAGTATCCCAAACGTTAAAACGCATTTTTCCACGTGTTGTATGGAAATCAAGTGGATGCACTTCAACACCCAGAGTAGCAACATATTTCTTCTCAAACTCTCCAGTGATATGGCGTTTCACAAACGTAGTTTTTCCAGTACCACTGTCACCAACCAAAACTAATTTAAATACAGCTACCGGGCCCTGATCTACCATAACTGCAAGTCAACAATACAAAAACAGGCCGCGTGTGACCGGCCTCAAGCAGTTGTCCCCTGGGCTCTGCGGTCACGCAACCAACTTCCACGGTGTGGGCAGCCGGTAAGTAACAATCGCCCTCACAATCCGAAATGCACACGAAACCTCTCTATTACTCACTCATCTTTGTCTTCATCTTCATCTCTATCATCTTGCCTTCCTTCCACTGATGCAACTCCTCGACTTGATAGCTCTCCACTTCCTCTCCACTCTGCGTCCACTAAAAACGATGGAAGCCAAAAAACCACCACCGACAGCCTCTTAAAGCCGCGCCACCAATTTCATATAGGAGCTCTTAATGTTAGGACACTTTGCCAAATAGGACAACAAGCATCACTAGCCAAGACCCTGGCATCACGAGCCATTGATGTATGCTGTGTTTCAGAAACACGCATACAAGACCCAAGTGTGGTTATTCACCTGGCCAACAGGTTGAATCTGCAAAATTCACCCTGAGGGTATCAGGAGATGCCACAGCTAGTTCACGAGGATTAGCTGGCGTAGGGATAGCTTTGAGTACTAGGGCAGAAAAGACATTACTTCACTGGATCCCGGTAGATAGCCGAATGTGTGCTGTCCGCCTGAACGGATCAGTAAGAAGGAGGAAGGACTGCACTACTCGCCGATGCCTTTTCGTAATCTCCGCCTACGCCCCCACTGACTGCAGTTCAGATGAAACGAAGGATGAGTTCTACCAAAAGCTGTCTAGTTTGGTGGGAAAGGCTAAACGCTCAGACATAGTCGTTCTAGCTGGTGACTTTAACGCTCAAGTAGGGAAATTGTGTCAGTCTGAGAAGGATGTCGGTGGCACCTATGGAGTTCCGTGCCAGCGAACTGACAACGGTGACCGTCTACTACAGTTCTGCTCTGATAATCATTTGTTTCTTGTAGGCACTAACTTTAAACACAAGGAGAGACACTGTTTGACTTGGAGACCCCCTTCATCAACCCAACGCTGGACACAAATAGACCACATAGCAATAAGCTATCGTTGGCGTGGGTCGGTAGGAGATTGTCGCTCCTTCTGGAACACGTGTGTAGATACCGATCACGCACTGGTCCGGGCTCGTGTGTGCTTACGACTGAACGGACGTAGGAAACAGCTGGCGGTAAAACCATCACGTCCCCAGCTCGATCAGGAAACTAAATCCGTATTTGAGGAAGAACTAGCTAAACACATATCTGTGTTCGACAGCTGTGCTCACCCTGAAGAAGCTTGGAAGAATATCCAGGCAGCCATAGATATTTAGTGCACATTGTACCTTTGAACTTTTGTTTAAACTCGCTCACCCATGGTGATACGCTTTTTATCCTTTGAGTTGTGAGTCTTCCGTACGTTCATTGGTTCGCTCTCTTGTAGTGCTCTCTTTCTGCACACTCTCCGAGCCTACCTCCAGCAACGTCTGCAGATAAGTTGTACAGTCACTTTATTTATTAAATCTGTTATTCAGTTACGTTAAATACAACTCATACTAAGAATTCTTTCCAGTTTTAGCCTTTAAACTTTGATTGAGTTAATCAGTACTTACACGTTAGGTAGAGTACTGGTAAAGTCAAAAGACGGTGAAGTTTTTAGTAAGTGTGGTGATATCGAGGACTATCTTAAGTCTAGCCCCGACACTTACAGATACAGCTGTAAAAGCTGTGAATAAGGTAAACCCAAAGGTGAGTAAAAACCACTGGATCTCCACCGCCTCATCCGAACTGATAGATGCTAGAAGACTTATTCCGGCGAGCTCCGAATTCAATGAGGAGCGAAAGCTGCACAAGAGGAAACTTACGAAAAGTCTCCGCAAGGACCGTGAACAGTGGTGGGCGACAAAAGCCAAAGAGATGGAGAAAGCTTCGAGGATAGGCAACACCAGGAAACTCTTTAGACTCATCAGGGAATCGGGTGGGAGAAGACAAATCATCAGTGAGACAATCTCGGAAAAAAATGGCACTATAATTAGCTCCCAGGATAGACGACTGGATCGTTGTAAAGAGCATTATGAGGAGCAGTTTAATTGGCCCACAGCCACGCTCAAACTTCCGAGCATCCAACACCTCCCTGAATGGGATATAAACACAGGTCCTCCGTCACTAACTGAGGTTACTAAAGCTGTCACCAATCTGAAACTAGGCAAAGCAGCTTCACCTGATGGAATCACTCCAGTGGTATTTAAGTACGGTGGAGACAGTTTACTGTCTGCATTAACTGAAGTACTAGGCAGCGTCTGGGAATCAGAAGAAGTCCCATCGGGTTGGTGTAAGTCACTGATTATCCGCATATACAAGGATGGAGACAAGTCTTCCTGTGATAATCACAGAGGGATTAGCTTGACTAATATAGTATCTAAAGTCCTAGGCTCAATAATCATGCGTAGACTAAGTGCTACTCGGGAGGCTCAAACACGAGAGAGCCAGGCAGGCTTTAGACCAGGAAGAGGGTGTATTGATCATATCTTCACCCTCCGACAGATTCTAGAACATAGGAATTCCTACCGGCGTCCAACAGTCATTATATTTCTTGACCTAAAGGCAGCATTCGACTCTGTCGATCTAGAAGTTCTCTGGAGATGCTTGGCTGTAAAGGGAGTTCCAAGAAAATATATTGCACTGATTAAGGCACTCTACTCGTACTCATACAGCCAGGTGAGGGCTTACGGCGAGCTGTCATCTGAACTGATGACGACCAGTGGTGTCCGTCAAGGATGCCCATTATCTCCTTTTCTATTCAACTTCATCATAGATGTGTTAATGGACTTAACCCTAGGTGACTTCAGCGACTCAGGGATTGACTTGCTACCGGGGAATAATCTCGTTGACTTGGGATATGCAGACGACATAGTCCTTCTAGGGCAGGACGCTGACAAAATGCAGTCTTCAAGTCAAGCATTTGTCCCCTGGGCTCTGCGATCACGCAACCAACTTCCACGGTGTGGGCAACCGAGAAGTAACAATCGCCCTCACAACCCAAAATGCATTGGATTACTAATTTTCCATCTGTGGATCTTATCGATGTATTTTCTGTCTTCGAGCATTAGAAACTATATTCACATTTAACTGTATGCTTTTGCTGATTTCCAGTATTGGTCAACGCTTTTCCAGTTATCGAATCAACCAATGAGTCATAGAATGCAGTCGGTAAATTGAGGGACACAAATGTGGTGCTTGATGTGATACGGAACAATTTCAAATGACACATCAGGAGTCAGTTTAATTAAGGGTAGCGGATGTATTCCGTCTAGCCGTCGGTTTTCTCTAGTGTGCTCCGCTAATTGTTGTAATTTCTATTTCAACTGATTTCATTGCTGTTGCTCTACTCGTCATCACCAGTTAAAATTCTGCATTGAAAGTGCTCACGTGCATATACTTCTTATATATAGTAGGAGGAGGTGTTGATTGATGAGCTTTTTAACATCTAATCGTTTGGTGTGAAGCACGTACGAGAAACACTTATGTGGATGTATGGCTTTTAGAGGGAATCTCATACTTGTTGAATTTTGAGAAGACGTGAAAGCACAACTATTGTTGCATTTTACTCATTCGTGGTAGAAATAGTTGCGTAGACGAGTGAGTGAGTGTCACGGGTTTGTGACGATAGTGTTGACATCATCTGGTCATCATTATTCAACTGTCTCGTCTCCTTTGATCATATGAATGTCTGAGAAAGGCCAAGAAGTGGAGGAGGGAGAAGAAGCTGAAGAGGAATGTGTATTGTTTTCGAGTGAATAGTTTTATTTTCACTGGTAAAGAAGATCATGTGAAAGGCATCTTTGTTTTTTGTGTTGGTATAATGATGATGACTTGAGAATGTGAATTGTTAAGTTTCTTTTGTAATATTGTGTTTTCGTGCATATACGTGTGAATATGTGTGTGTGTATGTGTTCACTCACAAGTTGTTGTTGCCATCGCCATCACTACGGTGTGTTTACAAGTCGTGATGCAGTTGGACTGATTGACATGTACGAAGTTAATCAGCGCAATATATGTTGACTAATTAACTGTGTTCTGAATTGGAGCGTTCTCTTTCTATTCATCTGACTCCTTCTTACTGTTGATGTTTATTCGTTTACCGTGGGAGTTGGTCATGATTACGTGCAAGTTGAATCCACATTGACGATGTGTCTTAACAAAGTCCTACAGTTTTTGTTTGTATTCTACACATTGACCACCACTACTTTGCGAGAGAGCAGCATATGTTTGATGTTGATTTTTTGGATGAATGTAGGGTCTGGAGAACTGGCTTATATTCACAATGGAAAGAAACTGATACCATACATTTCCTTACACGAAGTCGGATATCTTATTGTTGTGAGTGGATGTGAGGAAACTCCGATTAGTGTCACAGGAAACTGCTTTACCAAGGTTAAGATGTTTCTGGAGTGATATATGTTGAAAGAAGGTTAGGTTACACCTGTAAATTCTACACTGAATGTCCCCACAAAGATTTACGTGTCTATGTGTGTGTGGTACTTTTTACAGTTTATCGATGGGATAATCATGGAGCATTGTTTTGTTGTGTGTAAATTCCCTTCAGAATGGTGGGCAGGTAGTGTGATTCGCGTTTACCCTCAGTGTGAAATTGCTGTCAAGTCTTTGTGACTCTGTATGCGTTATTTGTTCCACACGTTTCAATGAATGGATAACTTGTGTGTTTCGTAAATGTTGTTTTTGACAGTTTTTACAAGAAAACAATTTGATTGATTACAGTCTTCTAATCGGTGTCCACGATCCTGAGATTGCGCTGACCACTTCAAATGAGAATGATGGTGATGATGTAGAAGGGACTGGTGACTCTGTATTGGATGCTAGTCGAGCGTTTGAGGATAAGGTAGTGTCAGCAGGAGATGGTCTTGGGACACTTGTATCACACGGTCAATATACCCATCCATCGACGACGAGATCGAGTATTGCGCTTGGCTTGGCTTCATCGGGTACTGGTGGTGGTGGGACTGGGAATGTGAGCACTGGTGATGATGATGACGATGAAGAGGAAGGAGTTTTAATACCGGACAGCAATGCACAAGTGCCTCCGAGTAGGTTGTGTTGATTTTCTCTCGTGTTTATATTGTGGTATGCTTCACACTTTTTGTGATTTGTGTATTTGTTGATTTTGTGATTGGTTGGAGAGTGGTAAGTAGTAGGTCATATGGATAGAGTCTGGATCCTCTTGGATGTCAGTGTAGCTGTGTTTGTGGTGTGTTAGTGTGTAGTTCCATGTGATGGAGTAGAAGGAATCTAAGTCTTGTAGATTCCGTATGAAACACTCAAGATATACGGTGGGTGAAGTTAGAGGCTTTGACTTACGTTTACAAGTACTGAGGAGTATGTTGTTTGTCAAGATGAGCAGTATATTTACTGTTGTCGGTTAGTTTTGTGGAATTCACGATAGACGTCTCACACTTTAGTATTTTGTTGACTGTCGTTGTAATTTGATTGTAACAGGAGACTCCATTATGGTTAAGATTTTATTTTGATAAGTCACACAGTGTTACACAATGATAATAACTGATGACGTTTCGAGCACAAGTTATTGCTCATAATCATATTAAGTTACTCACACAATTTTTTTCCTTCATTTATATATATATATATGTGTTGAGTTGACTAGAGACGGCTTTATTCTGCGTATTAATCTTATCCATAATGGAGTTACGCTCTACCACGGTGCCCGAGTTTTATACTTATACCAATAATACATATGGTCTTCGTACTAAGAAGCTTATCAACAAACTCACACGACTTTGTCCAACAGAAGCAAGATTCACAAACCATCGGATTTTTAACAGTCGATGTTTAAAAAATCATATAATTCCAAAATATTTACGCATACGTACTCCAGTTGCATCAAGAAAAATCACATCAGCCTCCGATCATGTCAGTAGATTATTTCTAAGAGAACTACATCGAATAACTGTGAAACTAAATAATATACGAAATGAAATTGGAAAACTCAAATACAAACTCAAAGGTATGGTCAATGACACAGATTATGTAATTGTTGTTGAAACAAACTAAAAAGCTAGAGGATCGACATTAAGAAAATCAAAAACCACACAAATCAAACAATTCAACAAACTAATGGAAGAAAAGAACACAATAAATGAAATTGACACCAGCGTTTCAACCTCTGTTGACAGAACCAAAAGGGGGATCAACCTCTCATCAAGGAAACTAAGCTCTAGTGAGATAAAAGCACTTGAGAAAGGACTAAATTTCAATGTAACAGTTGGTAAACTAAAACCAGAGGATGTCATTCCTAACACAGAAGTAGCACTAGGTTCAATAGATAAGACAACAGCAGAAAAGGTTCAAGCACAATGTGCATTAACCCTGAGAAATCTAAGCTCTAATCAGTCTAAAATAGGATAAAAACATTGTCATCACAAAAGCTGACAAAGGAAACTCTACCGTAGTTTTAAATAAATCAGACTATATTGAAAAAGTCACTGAACATATTACGACAGGTCCATATAAGGAGATTAAGAAACCTGTAGATACAATAATGAATAAGGTTAAGAAATATATAGCGGAATTAATCCTCAGAATAAAGCCGTCTCTGGTCAACCCAACACATGTATATAAATGAAGGAAAAAAGTTGTGTGAGTAACTTAATATGATTATGAGCAGTAATTTGTGCTCTAAACGTCATCAGTTAATATTACTGTGTAACACTGTGTGACTTATCAAAATAAAATCTTATCCATAATGGAGTTATGCTCTACCATAGTGCCCAAGTTTTATACTCATGTCACAAGAGACATTATAATCACATTGTTGACGTTTGTTTCCACGATGTAAAAATCGGTATTTCTTAGTGTTAAGTACCAAGTTGTTCACAAGTCAGTCAGCGACATTCAAATTGGAGTGTGTGTGTGTGTGCTTGTATCTTTGTGTGTTTCAAATGCTGTATGTATGCTTGTTAGTGGGTAGTAATTATGAATAAAAAGCCGTGTGGTGCGTGTGTACGTGTGTGTTTGAATGATTAACGAGTGAACATGGAATTGGTTAGTGCATTGGTTTCAGGACATGCTGGAGTGAATTATCACTAAGTCCTTGTTATTGTTATTGTCAATTATGTTATGCTAAGTGTGTAATAATAATAATGAGTGTTTACATGAAGTGTGTTTTCCAATTGTGTTTGTAACTCAAGTTGCGAAGTGTTACAAGCTGACTTTTGTGAAAGTTTCACTTCCTAGTTCCTAGTGAAATAGAACAACTTGAAGTTGGTTGATTGTCGTAGGTGTGATTTTTCCCTAGTAGACAAGTGTTCCTCACACGTGGTTTAACTTCATTGTTTTTTTGTGTTTGTGTGTGAATATTTTAGACGATTTAACTCCACCGGACAGTCCACCCGGAGCGATTTGTCTACCTCAATTGTTTTCAGGTGATCTGCATCCTAGTTTAGAATGCTATGGAATCAAAGGATCAACCGGTAAGAGTGTTGATATTATCAGTTTTTCTTTTACCACTTTAATTGTCGGACTTTCATTCTTAGTGGTGGTTGTGCTTTGACAGAAGTTGTTTATTACGAATGATGAGTGTTGTAGAGTAATACAGCCGACAGCGATTGCATCAGTAGTGCTGATAATTGTGTAGCGCCACATGCAGGTTGTTCAAATAGGCCGGGTCGGGCCGGGTTGGGTTGGGTGGGGGTGGGGATTCAGCTAAACGAATCTGTACAGATTCATGCATTACTTCATTGGGTGAATGGTAAATGTGAAGGTGTGTGTCTGTATGCTCATTGTATGTGGGTGGATTGTGTTCACGTGTAGTATTTTCGGAGATCTCTGTATGGCTTTTAGGAGAACAGACTATGGATTTGTTTCTTTCTACATGTTATTATGATGCATAAATGGAAGATACTGGAGGCTACATATGTGGGAGGGAGTATTTAGTCATGGATGTGTTTGAAACATCTGTCCGTCGTGAGATCGGTCGGCTCAAATATTGAGAAGTTGACTGACTGTATGTTGGATGGGTGAATTATCCACACTTGAGGTACTCTGTGCTTATGAAAAATGACACACAATCAAGTGTGATAATAATGTGTGTCATTAACATATATGGGTATTATCGTGTGAGACGGATTTTGTGATGTTTTATTTGCACATTGAACGACTGTCTGTTAGGAAGGAGTCTGTGTGTTGACTGACTGCTAAACACTGTTTGCTTAAAATTTGTCTATTGTGTGTACTCAATACTTTCATGATTATTGTGTGTGTGTGTGTATTTCTTGTTGATTTGAATCCTGTTTGCAGATTCTCCTCATTCCATGGTTTATTTTGTGGCTATCATCGATATACTGACACGTTATGGGATGCGTAAGCGTACAGCTCAAACGTATAAAACAGTGAAGCATGGTTCAGATGTCACCTCTGTGAAACCGGAATTCTATGGTCGTCGTTTATTGGATTTTGTTGAACAGTGCGTTGATTGACTTCGAAGTGTTTTTGTGATTTGATTTTTCAGTTTATCTCTGTTTCCTCTGACTTATCCAGTAAATGAATATTGTATGCTTGTATATACACATTACCTGACATGTGCGCATACACATACAACATACATGCATTTATCTGCCGATGCCAACACACACACACACTCACTGCACACCCGTACATCCACGCAGTCAGAATACATTCACTCACACACACACACACACGAATACACACTTTATAAGCGAATTATTATTTCCCGTGCTTCAGGAATTGTCGAGAATTGTGATCAGAACTACTTTTTCCTTTTCTTTTTTCTGCATTTCAACTACTTATTTCTCTTTATTATTGCTTTGTGACACTGCCAGTTGTCCAGTGTATGTGATTTTGCATTATAATTTGTTGTAATGATACAAGTACAAATAAAAGTGATCATTACGACTATCATCAATGTATGTTGGCCGGCGTTGTTGAGATCAGTGCCACTCTCATAAAGTGAGCCTATGCATAGAGTATCCATGTTTTGTAAGTAGCATGTATTGATCATGTTTCGGTAGAGGATTGTGAGGAATGACTCTGAAGGGAGGGATGGTAAAATACTGTGGTATTTATTGATATCTCGTTCGATTAGGATAGAAGAATTGGGAACGTAGAACTCTGGATTGTATTGTCCTCGGTTTCTGTGGCCTCTTTTGTTGTACAGGTATTGTGGAGTGTGTGTTGCTGATAAACAATAGATATAAGTGGTGTATGGAATAGCGTCTTCTGAAAACCAATGATTATAACTCACCTGTTAATGGAAAGGTCACTGACGAAATGTGAGAGTCCGATTGAAGTTCAGAGAGGGATATAATAAGCTGCAGACAGTGAAGGACAAAACCTGTCTAATACAGAATGGCTCATATTATTTGGGAATAGCGAAATATTTTTGTTGTACTGTCCCAGAAAGTGTTAGATTTGTCCATACGACTGGCAGCTTGAAAATCCCCATTGAGTCATATGAAAAACAGAAGACGTTCAGTGAAGAGACTCTTTTCGGCGAATTCACTCACTTTGCTGTACAATCGCATATGCATGTATAATTATTTGTGTGTGTGTATATGAGTTTTGTCAAGTTTAGATAATTGATCAGGTAACAAAAGAATGATCTAATATAGAAACAAGGTTAATGGGACAGCAACTAAAGTAAGATTGAGTTAGTAAGTTAGATGACGTAATATAATTGACTAAAATGTTTCCACTTAGGTCATGGTAGCTACAGAGGTAATTACAGGTAGAGACTAAGTGGAAGTGGGGTAGATAATAATGCTATTTAAATTATAACTGACATTGAGCAAATAATTTGGATGACGTAACATAAATGACTAGAAATTGAGCTTTGGTCAAGTCGGTAACAGTGGTTGTGAGGTGTAGAATTTAAATCGGGCGGGGGTAAGTAACAAGAAAGTTGAAAATGTAAAATATTACATTTGAGAAGAAAAAATAATACTAATGAAGAGACAGAAAAAAAGATTAGGGAGAATTCACTCGTCGGATAATAAGATAGATTAAGTCCATTGCAAGTGTAGTGATTGAATGAACTTCTTCTGTGTGCAGAGTTCAGGGCTTAGCAAGTGAATCGCTATTGCTTCTGCAGTCTGAAGAAATCTGATTCGTACACCTTTAGGAAGACTACTTCTTACTCTGTAGACTACTTTGAAGTTAGGTTTGGGGTGTAGCTTGGTGTTCGGATTCTATCAGATGTTCTAGGATGAAGCTGCGGTGACATCGTTTTTCTCCTTTGTAAAACCATGTTGGTAAGTCTTCGGCGATACGCTTGGAAAGCGAACGCTGGGTACGGCCGACATACCTGGCTCCACACGAGCAGGTGGATTGATAAATACATAGATGAGGCCAACAGTGGTAGCTTATCATTCACGTTCACATGAATCATAGGTTTTGTGGTGAAAGTTAGTCGTATTTCAGCTGCGAAGAAGGTCTTCTTAAGTGAGCGCGACAGTCGATTTTTTAGTGTTTCCGCAGATATATGTTCATTGAATTGGAGGTTCATGTAGAGTAGTTTTTTCGGGACGCTAAGCGTGGGCGGCTTTTGTGGTCTAGGATTCATAGATTTTGCAATAAATCTTCCTCTATAACAATTCTCGACGAGGATTCTCTTGAGATTGTCCAGTTCATCTTCTGCGAACTCTGTAGCCGAGTGAACGGATCAGGTTTCGTTTGGTGTATAGGGGTACCCAACTGTGAAAGTTAGTTAGCTGTTCGTTCCACGTCGACTTTCTGTGGATAGATCTCTTCAGTGTTCCATCCTGTTCTCGTTTTGTTAGTTGGACGTCAAGAAAGGATATTTTGGAGTTGGACTCTTTCCCAGCGTGAACTGAATCGCGGGATGGCAGTTGTTAAACGACTTCAAGATGTCGTCTAGACTTTCTTCATTGTTGACGATAATGAAAGTGTCATCGACGTATCTCTTATAGATTTCGAAGGTATCGGTAATTTTCATCAGACATTTGTTTTCGAGTTTTGCCATAAAGAAATCTGCAAGCAATGGGCCTAGTGGTGAGCTCATAGCTATACCATCCTTTCGGTGATATATCTCGTTGTTGAAAGAGAATTAAACATGCAGGGTACACCTCAGCAGGAGTTCTTTAAAACGCTCGGTGGGTATACCGATGTTTATTCCGTTAGAATGAATTAGTTCGCATATATAGCATATTGTTTCAGTCAGTGGAACATTTGTGAATAGTGATGTGACATCTAATGAGATCATGGTCTTGTTGCATACGTTGATGTTTTCGATTGAGTCGATAAATCCGAATGAATCTCGAACTGTGTGGCAAGAAACTTGTCTCCAGATTGGTTCTAGTAGGTCTGCTAACCATTGGGTTGTGCAGTGATAAGGTGAATTGGTCATGTCGAGGATCGGTCGAAGAGGGGTTCCCTTCTTGTGTACTTTCGAGAGTCCGTAAAGTCGTGGCATATTTGAGCCAGATGGTCTTAGGGATCCGAACGTTTCGTTGCTGATAAAAGATTCAGTCTTTAGCTTACGGAGGGTGTCCGTTAGCTTTAGTTCGGTCTGTTCAGTCATGTTTTTCTCGCTGATCGGTTTTGTGAATTCACATTCATCCGATGGTATAGTCACCATTTTACTGATATAGTCCTTGCGATTAATGATTACGATTCCTCCGCCTTTATCAAGACGTAATATCATAATCTCTAAGTTTTTCATAAGTTCTTTCAGCTCCTTATAGTGCCTCTTTGTCAAAATGAACCTTCCGTTGGGTTTGGTATTTATAAACTTATGACAACACTCGAGCACTGATGATTTCAGTTGTTGTAGGTTTTCATCTGATGTGGGTGTGAAAACGTAAGTCTGGTTTATTAGATTTTCGAACTGAACCTGTCATTGTAGCTTGTCAATACTTGGTTGTTTTACGCTGAATTTTGGAGCTAGACATAGAGCCTCTAGCTATGGGAGTAGACACGGTGATGTCTGAAAGATTGAATACGTACAATTCCGGATTGTTTGGGAACGGAGAATATTAGCTAATGAGCGTTAGAACGTGAGGGTCATCCCAATCGAACAGACCAAGTTGTAGTGGGAGATGTCTGTGAGCACTAGAGAGAGTTATGTGGGTTTATTTTCTCAGCATCGTATATAACATGAGGGGTAAGGAATAGCTTCCTTATTCACTGTGGTGAACATTAAGCGCCCGGTGGAGTAGATTAGGACTCGAGGCTAACTTGAATTTGTGAAATATATTTTACGAATTTATACATTCACGTTCCACCATCACATTGCAATGGTGTAGTCAACTCTGTCAGAACACATAACAATCAAAGCCGCCTATTACTCCGCCGTCACTTCACCATTTCAACTCCGTTTCATATCATGCCACATTAGTCTGTTTGTCACAAATATGCCACACAATGGAGCACTATTATTTGTTAAATGGAGTTCCGAACACATTTGATTGAGAATCATGTGAAATGTAACTGCACAAGATTGATTAGTTTTGAGAATGCTAACACGTTGTCGAAGATTCGACAGAATCATTACACTGTCTTCCGAGGTGGTAAGCATGGATATTAGTGGATTGTGGGAGATGCTTCATGCTTATCAAGTTGTGTGCGGTAGTTGGATTAATTACACTACTATTCATGTTGGTCGAGTGAAGGATGTAAATGATATGAGACGGTTCCGTCCACTGATACCTCAGTACACTCCAATCCGACCTGAATGCATCTAACACCATCGTGAACAGCTTCTTAAATCCAGTCTAATCTTTCTAACATTACGAGATCGCTGTTCCACAGGTGGTAGAGTTAACGGATTCGAGCATTCCAATATCTCGCCAATTCAACAATCAAATCTACAGACAATGAAAGTGTTCACATTGTGAAGGCTACACTCATGAGAACTAAGAAGTGAGGAGTTGGTGAAGTGTTTGTGATTGTTAGTCCAAATCTACTGAATGACAAAAGATAATGGAAGTGAACAGTCGACTTTCATCTTTAGATGTTTACCTGATCTCTGGCATCCCGAGCCATTGATGTATGTTGTGTTTCAGAAACACGCATACAAGACCCAAGTGTGGTTATTCACCTAACCCCACCTGGCCAACAGGTTGAATCTGCAAAATTCACCTTGAGGGTGTCAGGAGATGCCACAGCTAGTTCACGAGGATTAGCTGGCGTAGGGATAGCTTTGAGTACTAGGGCAGAAAAGACATTGCTTGACTGGGTCCCGGTAGATAGCCGAATGTGTGCTGTCCGTCTGAACGGGTCAGTAAGAAGGAGAAAGGACTGCACTACTCGCCGATGCCTTTTCGTAATCTTCGCCTACGCCCCCACTGACTGCAGTTCAGATGAAACGAAGGATGAGTTCTACCAAAAGCTGTCTAGTTTGGTGGGAAAGGCTAAACGCTCAGACATAGTCGTTCTAGATGGTGACTTTAATGCTCAAGTAGGGAAATTGTGTCACTATGAGAAGGTTATCGGTGGCACC